TCCTTCTCTTGCTGCGCCTTATTACCGAGAAAGTCACCGCGATGAGCGCTTACGAACCACTGGACAAGCACCAGCATGCGTAAGGAGTTGAATCGTCCGCCCCCGTCACTCCTCTCGTCCCTCTCCTCTCACTCAGCTACTTCTCACGCATCGAAACGACCTTTCGCGTTCATGGAATCTCGCGCGATTCCATCGGCGCTCTCCCGCGTGCGAACGCCCAGGCAGCACGCGAGCGAGCCGCACTTCGCCTCCGGGGCGGAAAAAAGGGATGTCGACGGGGAAAGAAGGGGCGAGGAGAGGAAGACTTGGAGGAGAGGCTTGTATAAGCGAGCAAGAAGAGGTGGCCTCCTTATTCGAAGGCGCGCCTAACTAGGAGAGATCCCCGGTATACGGTTGCGAACCGCGCGCGGATCGGCTATTATTCCCAACACGCGCGGCGGTGGCACGATGAAAAAAATATCCCGCTCCCTCGCTCGGCCGTGACTCCGCCGCGATGCACGGCGAAGTCGTTGCTTATCGATGCCCCGGGTCGATACACGTGGCGGCGGAGAACGCGCGCGGTAACGACGTATACGCGTCGCCCGCACGGCGAATCGGCTTTTAAATTAAAAACTCGCTCGTTGATTCCGCTCATCTCGCGCCGGCTCCGCCTGAAACTCGCGGCTGACCGCGTACGAGGCAAACGAGGCAGGCGAAAAACTGACATTCTTCTACGAGAATGCGGTATAAACCTATCGCGAGATATCGTATTGTAATATATATGTATCGTAAAGAGGAAGAACTTCACTGTGATTTAAAACGGTTTCATTTTTTTTTTATGCCATATACTTCTCTTTTACAGCTACTTTAAGTCATTGTAGCGGACACAGATTGAGGATTGCGAATTGCGGATTTCAACGAATTAGAATAAAGCGTAGTGAAATTATTAAATCACTTAGTTGCGGTCAAATATTTTATTAGTCTTTAATACGAATTATGTTTTGAAACTTCAAACGTTCGAAACTTGTTAATATTGATTTCATGCGCGAGATATATTTTTAAATTACTAGCAATCCTGCTTGACGCTTATTGTCCATTAATTACTCCGTTAATTTTTAATTCGCTAAATCTTTGTAGGTACTTGTGTTTTTTTAATTTTCAAATCGTGGTAGTCTGATACGAGCTTAATTGCATTTGCATGCAAACACAGTGCAAACATGTACAATCGGTACATAAATGTTTTTATACAAAAGTTTACCGCTCTCTAAGCTATTCTTTTCTTTTGTAATTCAAGATTTTTAATAACTGTTTAATAATATATATATATATATATATGTGTGTGTGTGTGTGTGTGTGTATAGTAGTATATACAGTATGAGTAAATCTCTTTCGCATTTTCAGCGATAGATGTTTAAACTTCTGTTTGTCACGTAACATTGTACACTGTACCTTATACATTATCAAAAGATCATTATTTAATTATTCCGTTTCCCGGAATTAAGAAGTAGATAAGATTGAAAATTCCGATGGGGCATGAGAAATCAAAACGCAGCGCGGCATGCGGAGACTGCGAGAGTATCCCGTTCATTTCGCGGTTCCCTATATAAATAATATGACGCAAATATAAAAGCGTTTCATTAAACGATTTAATTATCCCTTTATTTTTCGAAAGGGCAGGAGCGAGAGACCCGCATATTTCGCACGCGGGCTTCATTACATTACACGAAGCGCCTACCATGAACGCGCCGTTAATCGTCCCCCGTGCGTTGCGACGCACGTTGTTACCCTCCCCCCTCCCCCCCTCACCCCTCGCAACCCCTCGATGCAATCAAAAAGTACGCGGGCCGAAATAATGACCGTTTCATTCGAAACTCTGCGATTTTAGCTGGCGTGCGTCGACGTATCGGAGGACCGCCCAACCGACCCGCCACTCACTCACGCACGCACGCACGCACGCACGCATGCACGCTCGCTCGCTCGCTCGCTCGCTCACTCATACATTCGCGTGCATGATACACGAGGCCTCGTTGTACGGTCTCATTCGCACGCACGCCTCGGCAAGCCGAACGCGCGCTTCGTGGCGCGCGTGCCGACGACGGCGAGGCCGCGTCTCGCTCCCTCACGGCTTTCCGTCGCACGCCTCGTCGCCACCCGCGCGTCACTCTCTCTCTCTCTCTCTCTATGCTCATTTCCCTCGCGTGCCCCCCGTTCCCCGCCAAAGCGACCGCCGCCCGCCCCGAAGGCTCATCGCTTCGACGAGCCGAGCGGCGGCACGGTTTGAGCTCCCACCCGTTCTCTCTCTCTCTCTCTCTCTCCCTCTTTGTCCCCCTTTCGCCTGCCTACCGACCACGGCCCGTCGCCTCGACGTTTTTCGCTCCTCTTCCTCCACTTCACCTCCTCCTACTCATGCGGTCGCACACGACGTGCCGCCGCCGCCACTGCCGCCGTCGACTTTTCGCGCGCGTTGCGAGACGGGGAGATTAAAGGCTGACGGCGCGCGTGGAACCCGACGATCCTTATCGCGTGCTGCGCCGCGCGATGCGTAGAAACGCGCGCGGTTCGTCTTCTTTCTCATGGTCTGGCGGCGTTTGCTAACGTGAATCGCGCACGACTTACCATTTGCGTTGATGCGTAGATCGATATCGGCGATCCGTTAAATGTCAGTGACGCATTCCACGATATTCCAGGATAATCGTCTAGCAGACGGAGAAAAAACGGAGCGTCGATCGTACTTGGAGCGAAAGTTTGCTATTTTTTTCACTACGTTTTGTTACTTTAATAAATTATATAAGAGTTGATACTTTAAATTATTTATTTTTTTCTTATTTGAGATTTTAAATGAGACTAGGGTGTTTACTTTCTAAAAGAAGTTGGACTTTTTAGGAGATTTTTCTATGTGAAATCGGGAATATTTATGGAAATTTATTGAGCCTCCAGGGAAGGAGTGTCTTTGGAATTTTACTTTTTAAACTTAAATTCCGTCTCTTTCTGAAAATATTGTTTCCTTAGTCCTTTTTGGTTTAATGAAGTATACAATTGATATCGACATTGAATACAATATACGCATCCACATATATTCATGTATATTCTTGTGTGTTTAGCGAGTTTTTATAAAAAGAAATCAAGATGTTAGTAGAAGACAATAGTCAGAATAGAGTAGCTATTCTATTTTGTAGTGAGTCTTTCCTTTATTAGATATCCTTAATTTTTGCAACTCCAATTGTAGAAAATAATAGATGTAACTCGGAATACCTGTTTACTGTAAAATTTCAATATGCATATATTTTTGTTTACGTTATCTAATTTAGTTTAAAATTGCATTAAAAAATTTTCTAATTTTATCTGGAGTTTTAAATAAAAATACTTAGAAAATCGGCAATTCTCAGAAAATTTGTTTTTATAAGATTTCAGTAAATACCGTAAAAGCTATACATGTATACGTAAATTTATATTGAACAATTAAAACATGTAGTAATGATGAATATAAATGTATCTTGTTTAACGTATTGATGCAATATTAGTAAATATTATCTATCGGATGAAATGAGAGAGATTAATAACGAAACTGGAAAATGATGAGATGAAACCTTGAAACGGTGTGCGTTTTTATTTTTCGAAAAAATTAATCGAACTGCTAACATCAAGACAACAATATTCTAACATTGTTTTTTTTATGTGAAAAACTGTGGCAAAAATAATTTACTGGAGTTTTCAGTATATACCTATAATATAATAATTACTTTAATCGAAATTAACAATAATTTGATATTAATATTAAAAATTTAAGGCTGAATAAATTCAAATAGAGTATATGGTAAACAAACTTTGATAATAGCTGTCAAATGTATTTTGTTCAGTTTATTGATGCAATATTTAGTAAAAATTACTAAATATAACAGTAATTAATCGTTTGGTAATATTTAGAACAGTAAAAATAGTTTGTTATAAAGAATTGGTTTTGATTATATTAAATTTGACATTATTTTACCGAAACTCTAGTAACTATCACTTAACCATGACTTTCTATTAGATTTTTTTAGTACTTTTTAAGATTTTCGTCGTAACTTATTTTTATATGCCATGTTTAACTCTTTTGTATCGTTATATGTGTGTTTTCGTATGTCGTATCTCTGACAACTAAATAAACAAAAACTTTTCGGTCAACGCGCAATCAACTACGACACCTCGCAAAGTCGTGTAACAATTTAAAGAAAAAAAAAGGAGAACGCCTATCTTTCGCGCGGTATCCATCTCCATGAGCGTAAACGCATTTAGCCGGCGCTCACCGCGAGTTTTAATTCTCATTTACTCCGAAACCGGAGGGGCGGAGACGCAGTCGAACCGGGCATCGATTAAAAAAAAGGAGCGACACAGAAAGAGACGGACAGAAAGAAACAGAGCGCGAGAGAGAGAGAGAGAGAGACAGAGACCGATAGATAATGGAGAAAAAGATCCACTGATATCCAAATCGGTTCCTGCTTCGACGCCGCTTCACGGTGGCTAGGCAATAAAACGGCCCTGAGAGAGACGGAGGCACGACGTGGCGCGCGACGAGGACGCGGCCGCAAGCGAGCGAGCGGAGCGTGCGTGAGCGAGAAAGAAGGACGAGAATAGGAGACGACCGCACGTAGCCGCAGGCAAGGGCGCGCGTGAGCAGGCAAGCGAGCCTTCCGACCGATCCCTCCGGCCGCGCCGCGCCGCGCCGCACCGCGCCACGCTGTGTCGAGTCGAACCTCGAGTTTCGTCTCGCCTCGCTTCGCCTCGCCTCGCCTCGCTGTGCTGTGTCGTGCCGCGCCGCGCCGCACCGCGCTGTGCCGTGCCGCGCCATGCCACGCCGTTACCGCGCCACGCCGCCGCCACGCCGCCGCCACGCCGAGCGGCGAGCCATCCGTGTGCTCCAGTATCCCCCCGCCCCACGCACGACCAACCACGACGCGAGGCCCCCCGTCTCGTTCCACCCCGCCGTCGCCTATCCGTAGCCGACGCGCGGCCTCGGCGCGCCAAGTTCGCCGCGTACAGCCGCCAGCTACCGCTCGCCGCCTCACAGTCCGTCACCGTCGCTCGTCGTGCGAGCACACGCGGACGTTTCCGCAGTCAGGCTGCTGCACGCGCTGCGTGTGTTTTTGTCGTATCGTATTGACACACTGACGGATTGAGATCAGCCCTTGTGTCGCTGACAGTAGGACGCACGAGGGTGGATCCTCACGTTGCATTTTCGACTCGACGCTCGTAAATTTCTGCGCTTCGAGGATTTAGAAAAAAAATAAAAAAAAAAAAGAAATTCGGTTTTCACTTCCGTATTGCAAAACGGACCTTTTTCGAGGAAGATCGAGTGACTCGCGTGACTCGATCGCGTGATCTCGAACTTTTGACAGCGGCGGCTCTTTTCAGTGTCGAAGAGTCAGTGAAAGCGGAACGTTATAGATCGTCAGCCGCGTGAGAAACTTGTGAACGAGAGTGCACCGTCGATTGTTCACCGACCATTAACTAACTGCACTGTGCGAGACATTTGTCGAACCGGTGAGGAATTAGACAGGCAAACGGCAGGAGCGAACGTGCCGCGACAGCCGTTTCGCCCCGCGTGAGAGTGACAAGTGGTCGGCGACGCGTGGTTAACCACGTGGCGCGGTGTGCGCGCCGGTGTGTACAGTCGCTCGGGTGGCGCGTGAACTTTCGCGGGACTCTCTTTCCCTTCCGCGTGCGCGCACGTGTGTGTGTGCTGGGACTGTATCACGCGTGCACACGACGGACAGGCACGAGTGACAGGTATAGTCGTCGTCGGTCGTTGGTCTATGCGAGCGAACGGACGCTTTGCGGCTTACATCAAACGTTTCGCTCTTTAGCCTGAGAAAGTTAACGATCGACCTTCGCCCATCGGTCTCTCTCTCTCTCAAGACCGTCGAGAGCATGGTGCAACAGTGATTAGTCCGCCGTATATCATCGTCGGTGCCAACAGCAGTTGCAAAGGGAAGCGCGCGGGGTCCGGTGGTGGTAGAGTCTGGTCTCCCCGTCGCAGGCCGCCGCGAGATGCTGAGAGCCTCAGCTGTCCAGTCCAGCCAATCACGTAGGGTGCTGCGATCTGAGCCGAGGGCCGTCGCGGCCTGCTAAGATGACCGCGCGTTTACACTCGCTGAGGCACCAGGAGAAGAAATCAGCCGGCAGCAGTCACCGACAACACCACCAGCATCAGCAGGCCGTGCATCAGGGTCCGAGCCCGGCACCGAGCCCCAGTCCCAGCCTCAGCCCAAGCCCGAAACATTCGGACGGACGAAGAGTGAGTATTCGAAACGATCGGTTTCTTTCACTCTGAGAGACCGAGGAATTTATTTTTCTTCTCTTTTTCTTCTTCACTCTCCAGAGTTCGGACACACTAATCTGTCACTCACTTTTACAGATGTTTGTAAGACCCGTTTAATATAATTTGTGTTAATCGAAAGGCATTGTTTAATTTGAAAGAATCGAAATGACGTAAAAAATTAGATTCTCTCGCTCAAAGAAATATCACGATACTAAATATATTTTAATAAAAATAATTCACATTTGTAACATAAAAGAAGTGGAAATTTTTGACAAAGAGATTTATAATGAGTGGGTTCGATATACTATCGACACGCGAGATTTCGATATCAGCGATACATTAATGTTCCTAAAACATTAATCAGGGGAAATGCATGCATGAGATGCGTGTGGGAGTGAAGATTTAAAAATTGCGGCGCAAGCGCGCGAAACGTACGGATAATTTAATCCGCGATTTTATGTGTATGTGAGAGAGAGAGAGAGAGAGAGAGAGAGAGAGAGAGAGAGAGAGAGAGAGAGAGATGTATAGATGACTCTCGACCGTGTGGGGATGCTGCGATATCGCACTGCACACCGACTATGCGTCCCAGAACGCAACTCTCACCCTACCTCCCAATTTACCTCCTGCGCACTTAATCTGCGATCGTAAGTCCTGGTGTGACGCGCGAACCCGATACTGGACACGTGCGTGGTTTACATAACCGCTCGTCATCCAATCCCTACGTGAGAATTCGCTGATTTGACAGATGAACCTTCAAGTATACGGAAAGCGCGACAGTCGACGATACTCTGTAAACTACAATCTACAATGAGATTTTAAGAAGTAAAGCTTAAGCTTCGAGCCTTAATTCGTAAGGAAAAAAAATTTGATTTACAATTAAACGTGAGGGAAATAATCGATTGTATTTTGTCAATTTCTTACGATTTAAGACGATTAACACCTCAAATTTTACGTCTCAAAACTCATTGTGGACGTCACTTTAGATAAACACGAAAACACGCGTTGTATGCGAAGAAAATAATTCCTGATAAAGATATGGAAATTTTCTCGATGTGGTATAAGAAATGAACTTTCCCTTTGCCGCGACTATACACTTCTCTCTTTTTTAATTTTATTTACCGAGTCATGAAAATACTTTTTATATTACTGTTGTATTAACTTGTATTGATTTAAGCAAAATACTTTTTACTTTGACTGTGGAATAAAGTTTTATTTTTCATCCGTATTTTTAGAACGTGATACTTTCACAAGAAATATCCGAATATATTTAATGCAATATCGTTTTTATATATCACAAATACTATTTTATCACGATGACGAAATTATTTTAAGATCAATCGTAAATCATTGAGATTGCATTTTCAAGATTTTACTTCTCGTACTTCCGAATTGTGAAAAATGTAAAGGAAGAGATAACACGTTGCCAGTTGCGACGTTCAGCATGATGATTCTAAGAAAAGTTGGTGATTAAAAACTCGCGGTAAAAAGAGGAGCGCCAGCTCGGCATTATTTCTGACCCTGCATCCTCTCTGTAATCTCTGCGAAGTAGGTCAGTACCGGTTAACGCGGCAGATCAGCGAGATCGCGGATTTCGAAGGTGCGACCTTCGCTCGTTTCCGGATCGTTAAAAAAAAAAAAAAAAAAAGAACGCGCGCACACGGCGGCGATAGATACGCTACGCAGGGACATAAAACGGATATCGCTCTCCACGTGGACGCGCCGTTAAAATCGCAACGAAACGCGGCACATACACGAACCGTTGAGCCATTAAGCGGCGAGATACGCGTGCCGATAGGCGAGATTGAAATACATCGTGAGGAAAGATAAAATTCGATACGTTAGAACTGATCGTATCGCGCATATTCCCATATTTCCACCAATAGTGAATTAATTTTAATCTTGTTTCAACTTCTTCTTTGTCTTCCTTTCGATATTTCACCATCTTGTAATGTGTCTCTTTTGATACAAGCGAAATTTTCACCCTCGGCCTCCTTTTTGTTCAAATTTCGATTTGTATTAAATGAAGGTTTCGACACATTTGAGTGTGAAAATTAATTGGTAATATTAGATATATATTGAATAGTAACCCTAGATTTTATTTTAAAAGGATGGAACAGCTCTAGTACAAAAAATTTAGTCTCGACAAAAAGACTTAAAGTAAGACTTTGGTAAAAATTGCAAATGAAGAGTTAAAAATCGGAAAAAGATGGAAAGTAAGTTGATCCGAGATTAAAGTTAATCTACATTGGGAGAAACGGGCATTATAGTGGCATAATTCTTTGTATAATTAATCAAATCGTTATCGTCAAAACGACAAATCTAAAAGAGGCATAGTTCTCTCAATTTTTTCGAATTACGAGTCGGATTTTTATTTTCTGGTTAACTTATGGTTTAGATTTAACCTCACTTGATATAAAAATTGTTTCTTTTTTTTTAGCTATATGATTAATCACTAAATATTAAAAGTTATTACAGATCAGTTTAGCGAGATTAACTACAGCTGTAGAAAATACAATTTTTATGCTATCATCAGGTTAGGCCTGACTATAAATTGACCCGAAAATGAGAAAACCGAGTTATTCAGAGCACGTGACGAATGCATTTCCTTCTTGCCGTGCGCGGCAAAACGCAGCGGGTCGCAAGGGCATGTCGCGCGGCACGAATGCTGCGTGTCGGAGCCTTGTGACGCCAATTTGCGGTAATTGGACGTATTTACGAGCGATTATCATATAGATCGTCCGGACGCCCCCGTCTGCGCGGTCGGCATCGCTCAAAAAGCTGTAATTCGGTTTATCCAATTAATTCGTCGGTTAAAATTCAAACGTGCAGGGATCACACACGTGATCTAAAGATCATCCCCGCTGTATTTATTGTACATCAGCTCGAATTTGTCGTCTGTAACTACGACGTCGTGATATTCGAACGATTCGTTCTCGTACTCTCTTCTCCAAACTACACGAGATATTCACAAATTACTCGATAAGAATAATCGAAGATCAGCGCGCGGATTCGACCTCGCGTGAGACGCGAAGAGACGCTCGTCCCGCGAAGTATCGAGCACCGAGGGTACTCGCGCGTGATCTCCGCGGTGCACGCGTGCGTCAAATGCGGCTGGGTGCCCTTTTAAGGTGATCCACGTTGCGTGCGAGAGTAAGTACGCTCGCTCGAGCGCGCCTCGAGCGCGAGCGGCGGTCTTGCTATTAGGAAAGTTTCCACGGTGACGAAAGGACGTAACTTCGTGCACTCGTCTTTATTAGCGGAGTGAATTCGCGCGGCGAGAGACACGCGCAGATGTACTTAATAGTGCAGGAATTTTAGGTACGAAGTTCTTAACTTTCTGAAATTTTTTTTTAGAATTCGTTTGTTTTGTAAAGAATGTAAAAAGATACGAGAAGAAGATGAATCATATTTTAGGTACGAAGTTCTTAACTTTCTGAAATTTTTTTTTAGAATTCGTTTGTTTTGTAAAGAATATAAAAAGATACGAGAAGAAGATGAATCATAATCATCGATGTTTATGAAAAACAATAATAGGTTGAAAAGGTCTAACAGTCTAACTTTTATTGTTTTTAAAAATTAAGAATCCTTTACTATTTATTTATTATTTGATATGTGTCTGTTTGTTAATTTTAAATTCGTCACTTTAACTATAACGAATCATTTGTTTCTTACATGCTCTTAATCCTCTCCATCTTCGCTTCATACAAAATAATGTGCAGTAAGAATTACAAGACTAAATTCTCCGCAGTATGAGATCTTCGAAAGCGGAACAAATTTTTTTATTTTGTTCTAGATTATATAATATAAAAATTTAAAAGATTTTTTGGTATACTTGTTAATACCATCATAGAAGTTGAATTGTATTTTATTTTTTTATAGATTTATAAATGTACCAAAATTACAATTCACAATCAAAATATCAATAATAGAGATTCACTCAGTTCTAGCGGAGGGTTAAACATTTCAACTTTCTGTTCTATTGCACTTTATTTTTGTTTGTCTCCCTCCTCATGTTAAAGACGCAATTTTCTTTCCTCATTCATGTTGGTAAACAACTAAAGAAAACAAAATAATTAATCTCACGCATAGTGATGCTACGAATACAAATATGAAAGATCCACTAACACTTTCAAGTTTCGTATGATCAGCGACTATTACATTTAAAGATATTTGTACCCGAGACGTTTAAAGATTAAAGTTGACCGATTGAGTAATAGCGTCTACCTACATAAATGCGCGGCGAGAGAGAGTTTCTTACTTAAAAAGTTGCTTGCTTAAAAACCTTTTTTTTTTCTTTTGTGATAAGAAATTCGAATTTTTTACATGCGTTGGATATTATCGCGATCAGAACGATGGCTAAAGGAATTCGAAAAAGGTGTCGTTGATCTAGCGAGGGTGACGAAACCTCGCGGGATTTCGAAACTGGCGAAAGAGAAGAAGGGGAAAGAGGAAAATAACGAAAACGGTAGGAGGCAGATGCAGTGGACGCTGGTCGTCGTCGGGCGACGGTTTAATTGACGGCACTTAATGGATTGTCGTTATGCCCGGCTTAATTACCTGTCGCTCGTTGCCGCTAGTTCGCGCATTTTAATCGATTTATCATATGCGAGGCGAAGGCGACGACGTGCCCGAATATGACAGTGCAATAGACAGACATCGCACCTTCAAACGGAAGCGATTTTAGCTACCGAATTTTTTGTCAAATTAACTTTAACCGTGTCTTTTTTTTACACAAAAAGGACGATTTTGCTGGAGCACTTAAAAATTTATAATAGCTAAATATGAATTTGAAAATAATTTTGTTGAATCGTCAAAATAATCATGTGAGCTCAACAGGATTATCACCAAACCGGAAATAAGGAAACTCTTGGAAAAATTTTATTATTATTAGGGGAACATCAAAAATTTTGAAAAAATTTCTGGAAAATTATACAATTATATAGGCCTTACAGAAAATTAATATGCGTATTTACGCA